ATCACGAAAATGATGCCGTTGCGCGACTCGACACGAGTCATCGCTGAATGGGGTCCCGTAAGACGCGGACGCGTCACCTCGAAGAGATCTGAAGATCTCGACGCGCGATGACGCATTCGCGGTTCACCGGCTGACATAACTGCGGAGGATTCTTTCAGCGCGCGGTCGATTAGAATAGAATCTAAATTAGGTCAAACGTACGACGGACACTTTCCTTCGCGGTATCGCGTGCACGCTAAAGAGACCAGAGACCCGCCGCCGTCTCGTAATTTACGATGGGTTTGCGAGAACAAAGTAGGTCACCGCGCGCACGGAGGTATACGCTTAATTGATTTAATTCACGTCCGACGATCGCTACGTGCAATCTGCATATCCGCGAGTGACGACACGTCGGCTATTAGGAAAAATTATTTTATTATATCGTCCGTATATGCGGTATACAAGTAGGAGATTCATTTCTCGCGCAACATTGACATATATCTATATAGAACTTATGTACATACATAAAATTAGTCCCTACGAACGCTTTCAAAAACAATACAGATAAATGGACGGATTGTTTCTCAGATATGTGCGCCACGTAGACACATTTAATAGACACTTACGACGTATAAAATCTAGTCGTGCGTTTCTTTTCAAAGTAGATATTTTGTATAAACTTTTGTCAACGTAAGAATAATCGTAGAAGGGCTCCATGCATAGTCTATTGAAAATATTCATATGTCTTAGATAATTATCGACAGATCCTATGTAATAATGTTACGATGAGTAGATGTGTAACAATATAAAATTATTAGTCTTCAAAGATTCATTCGCGACACGCGTTTCAATGAATAAAATTTGCGCTTTTGCGAGCATTCGATGCATATCGCGTGCGTTCGATTGTCCGCGCGTTGGAATTACGATGTAAAAATGTGCTAAATGGTCGTATGCGTTTTCTGTTCCTCGTTCAATATTCGTTCCTGCTTCTTCCTGTGCCTGCGCCCTTCGATCAGGAACAGGATACCGGCGGCTATCAGGGTAACGCTGCCCACGACGGCCAAGGCGAAGGACCAGCTGATATCGTTGTGCTCCCAATTCGGCATCCAATCCCGTCCGTCGCCCCTGGCGCCGAATATAATCACCGATATAACGCCGCACACTCCTCCCAAAGTCAAATTGCCGCCGGTCACCCACAGGAGCAGCTGATACTTGTCGTGATGACGCGAGCAACAGGTGTACAGAATGGTCAGGAAGGTGCCTATCAGCAACAGGGTCAGGCACAGCGTGAAGAAGAACTGCGTGGCGACGAAGAACTCGGGCAGTAGTATGTCGTGTATGATGTAATACTCCTCCTCGAACACCCACCAACAGCCGTAGAATCTGGTGTCGTAGAGATGACGCGGATCCTGGAACCCTTGGAAACACACCTGCCAGAGACCTGCAAAGACGCAACGTCGTTTGTCAATCGCTCTGTCGCTGCCAGCCAGATGTCTCGTGCTTCTAATATCGCATTGTCAGAAGAGGATCAATTATTAATAGGACATGATGGAAAGGAGCAGTTTCGAGAGAAACGTAGCTCTTCCGATACAATCACCATTCCACAAGAACCTTCGAAAACAAATTCTGCGATAAGAAAAGGACCAGATAAAATCATTTCCTGGAGATCAAGCCTATTATGCGTAACGCATACGTATTCGATAAACGTCTTATGATAGAGAAAATTGACAATTCTCTTGTATCTACGTAAACCATCTAAATATCATCTTTTCATGTAGATTATTTATAAACACAGGTCGACGTGCGGCGCGTCCAGTCGCGTACAATCTTACCGATCTTGACGAATTGCGGATTATCCAGTTTCCCGTCGGTCTCCAGCCAGTTGGGTGTGGTGAACGCGATCACCACCAGAACGAACGCTACCGCCGTGCACGCGACGGCGGCCTTGCCCGTCCTCGTCTTCCCCATCACTCTCGCGATCGTCACGCGGACGTAACGAAGGACAGCAGGGAGAGAAGCGTAACTCCTCGCGACCGCCGAACGCGACGTGTATATCGCCGTGCGAATCGCCTGGGACGCAAAAGTATGCGATGCGACTTCCTCTCGAAGGAACCCTAGCTCGGCGCGCGAGCGCTAGAGCGCGTTGCGCGTCCCGGGTAATATCCCCTCCCCCGTGGAATTTCAATGACCTTCCCCTCCCCCCCGGAGCCTTCCTGACCGAACTTTTTTGTGCCCGGCGAGAAAATTAACGCAAGAAAGATAGAATCTTTTATCCTTTTCAATTTTCTTTCTCGTCTCTCTCTCTTCCTCTCTTTCTGTGTTTTCTTTTTTGTCGCGGAATCAGCACGCGCAATTCAAAATTCAATTCTTTGAGAGTTTACCGACAACAAAAAGTAGATTAAGAATAATTTCAATAAATGCGTGGGACGAGTAACGATATTTCAGTAATTCTTCTCGGTAGTCTGGTACGAGCCCACGGATGTTCAAAAGGCGGCGAGGATATTCGAGGTCGGGCCACATTGGAAAAATGTGTTGCACTTCGTCTCGCCCAACCGGAACGAGCTGAGAGTCATAGGCGAGCGCCTCAACATCCCCGTCGCCGAGAGGATGGACCTGGAGGCGGTGAGGAGCGTAGCCGAACAATTAATCGAGCACATTCCGGTTGTCGTAACCACCTTGGGCGCGCAGGGAGTGCTGGTTCGTATTCCGCGTGCGTTAAAAGTCGTTGCCGAAATCAACGACCAGGTTTCGACACACACAGCACACAGCTCGTCAACTTTCTATCCTCGCAGGTGACCCGACGAGCTTCGCCAAACGAGCCCTTCTACGACGAGCGCGGCGAGCTGATCGCCGATTCCCCGGTCGATTCTCGATTGTATCCCGCCGTCAACGGCGCGGAAAGTACGGGCGAGATCGTCAGCGTGAGCGGATGCGGCGATTGCTTCACGGCCGGGATGATCTACGGGATTCACAAGAATCTGGACGAGATCGGTTGCGTCTCCGTCGCTCTGAAAGCCGCCGCGCTTTCGCTGAGGTCCTTCGACACGGTGCCGCGGACGCTTCGGGACGCTCTCCAGCGATGAATCTTTTTTTTTTTATTATTAAATTTTAATACATATTTTTATTGTAATTAACTTTTTCACCAGTTGACTAGAATAACGTTTAGAGTTCTAATTGTATTTTTACGTAGTATAAATAACGTGCTTTTTACTACTGTCCCAAGTAGAAGAATCTTTTTTTTTATTAAATTTTAATACATATTTTTATTATAATTAACTTTTTCACCGTTGACTAAGAATAGCGTTTAGAGTTCTAATTGTATTTTTACGTAGTATAAATAACGTGCTTTTTACTACTGTCCCAAGTAGAAGAATCTTTTTTTTTATTAAATTTTAATACATATTTTTATTGTAATTAGCTTTTTGATTAGTTGACTAAGAATAGCGTTTAGAG